AAATGGCCGAGGTTGATCGCTTGTTCAGGTGTCATGCATCGCTAGTGGTCAGGCCAGCAGCTTCAGATCGTATCTAGGTCGACACAACGCAGCCGATTGATCTGCGCCGTGGAGAAGTCTCGGCAGTTTGCATGTTCGGCAAGTCGATCTGCCCATTATGGCTCAGATACCAACTAGTCGTCTTGCGTATCTAGGCTTAGATTTGGGAAGCAAGTGGTACGCTTCGGCCGCCGATGGAGCAACGAGATAAGCTAGCTCCGTATGATAGCCAGGGAAAACACTGCCTCATGCATACCCGATGCTGATCTATATATCAGTGCTCGTGGTAATAGTCGTTCAGCATCTTGTTTAAGCTTTAATCATTGTGGACCATATGTCAAGATTATCTCTCACTGTCAATTCAAGCAAGGCTCCATGTCTCAGTGCAAATAGCATCTCAAAAAACACACCACATCTACTGGATTAGCCTGGATATTGGCATGAGATATGTGTAGATGTACAGGCATTTACTTTATTTGCGTGTATATTTGTTTAAATCAGTGCCGCTGCAAGCATGAGGCTATGCCATTTTCCCGAGTTGAAAGTAGCCGTGAAGGTGTGAGTAGACATTGGGCTATTGCAAGTCCAGACGTCTTCGGAAGGAGGAAAATAATCCAGGAGGGGGTCAAGGCTCTATTGGACGTAAGAGTCAAGCGGAATAGGTAAGAGAGCCCTACCTCGAGCTTTAGCTACACATGCAGATGTCTTGGCCAGCAAAGTCTTCACGTCCCTCATCGACTACTACACTGATGCCACTTGCCCTTGACATAAGGAATGACCGGTCTGGGGGCAATTATATCAGCGAGCCGGATTGGATAAGTTGATCTAGTTGTTGTATCAATGAGGCGATAGCTCCAGCAGACCTTGGTGTCAGAAGTACAGTGTGAAAGCGCGGCTCGAATTTTATTTCAGATGCTACGACTGCCAATTATAATGGGTGTAAGGGCTCGCGGGATGCGTCATTCAAATGTGAATTAGACTTAGCTGCAGCGGTCAAGGATCCAATTTACGGAACATATCTGAGACTGAACTCGAAGATGAAGAGCCGGCTACCCGGAGCTCGTTTCAACAGGGCAACAATAGCCTTTCTTCTACCCCGGCCGGGGTCTGGCCTGTTTAAGATATATGCTTTTGCTATTTGGGCCTCCGCCACGATTGACATTGACATTGACACACGTACAGGTAAGGGTTATGCTATTGCGCTTCCAGCTGCTGAGTACCACGATATCATCTTGCTGAAGCAACTTCCTTGGTTTACACACCAGGCTCAGAGGTTATTATCTGTGGATACCAAAAGCCAACCCTTTTGAAGTACAAAATTATCCATTAATCTCACAATGATGTAGCTGCTCAGTTATTTTCCCACGCCAGTTAGCATTGGCGCCTATGAAAAGAACCATTAGTATCGAGTGGTCAATAGCTCCTTACACCGCATGGCTATATCTATTTTAGCAAAAAACAACATGGATCTTCTCGAAACTGAAAGACCACCCCAAATCCTTGCCCCCAAGTCGTCTGTGACACGAATCTCGTTATTGCTGAAACAAAGAATAGACATGACTTTACCTTCAAGTAAAAATAGAGAGTTTTCCGTACTAGTAGTCCCAATGACTGGTCAAAAACGCTGTGCTCGATATATAGGTGTCAGGGAAGGTAGTTAAAACTACATCAGGATCAGATAGGTGGCGGTACGAGATGGAAACTTTAATAAAAATACGTTTTTCTAGACTTGACTTTTAATTTTACATAGCATCTCAATCCCGCTTTAAGCTTATAGAAGATGATCGCACTTAAGTTGTCTACCTGAAGCCTACAAATATCTACATCAAGTGTTTTAGCTGCAATGATGGATATCTAGGTAAGATAAGATAAGAATTTTTATTATAGTCCCTTCTGAGTCTAAGACTATGAAGGACTTCTAGAATCTACCAACTAAATTCTGGCTACTATTTCAATGTTAAAATGAGGTTACTTAATGTTTTCCAATAGATGTTGAGGGTCATGCCCTGATATGGATATCTAGGTAACTCGAAGACAGACGAGTTATAATTTGGTAAGCTTTTTCAGGCTTCTGGAAAGTCAAAATCTTAATTTCGACGACTCGATGTTAAACTCGGTAACAATTGTCACGACATCTATGAACTCTGGGAGATTATCTAAACTAAAAAGCACTACAAATTCTTTCCAATGTCAATACAACGAATATTGAGAGTTGGATAGAGTATTGGAAAGCTAACATCACTGGGTTGGGTTTTGGAAATGATGGGCCTTGTTGAACTATAGTTTTTAGTTATCAGGCATTTCACACAGCCTAGCTGATGTGTGTGCAAATGTTTCGACCGGCTTGGGGATATAACTTCGTTAGCTCTAGCTCCGAGAAAGGCGCAACTACTGGAGAGTCTCTTTTAACTCGCATTATCTTTATTCTAGTAGTTAGCAAAAGAATGGTAAGCTCTACCTGGCAATATTCATGAAGTTTCTGTTATATCAGTCTCTGGACATTCTGCACCTTTTCCACATAGACTGCACCTTAGGATTCTTGGAGTTAATGGAGTAGGCCAAACAATTTGTATCTACTCAGGACTCTAGATTTTGCAAGGAGCTTGCCCAGGATTTTTCTGTCTCTTTGAAACTTTTAACTTCAAATTTCACCTCAGCACCCTCGATGCGTAGATATTTCACCTCATAGGCGTGAATTCATTCTTTTAGCAAAGGTAATAGATTGGGCGAGCTGCGAGAGAGGTAGCTTTCCTTTGTGATGGAAAGGAAGAGAGTCCGTTTGTCTTAGTCAGGTCTAATGGGATTATTGTAATCAATTAATGTGTGTATAGCAATAAGACTATGACTCGTGATCAGTATCTTGTATACATTTTAGAACCTAATGGTACTGTTACCTGGGAATATAAGTGCTTACAGAAATTAACGGTGTGACTATACCTTTTCCATTTCACAAGGCGAACTCCCTTCGTTAATATCAATGTAGATGTCTTATGATGGTGAGTGGCTGCAGCTAGTGGAAGGTCACCAATCCTCACACACTGTCTGGATCAGCTTGTTGAGCCGCACTTGCGCTAGAGCCAGCCCTGGACCCGTTCAGCTGTGTTTCAGTGAGCTTGATGCGTGGAAGACGGCCAGAGAGCTTTCTTCTCCCCATTGACCCACCTGTGTCCACTAGGAGTAGGAGACGAGGCAACAAAGGTGGGTCAGCTGCAATGGGCAGGTCGAAGATCAAGTGCCATCACCTCTCTAATTCCATCGCTGCCATCAACAGCTACATATTAGCTAAGTAATTCGATGTAGCTCATGGCTCGAATTCCAGCAAAGTAATAGAGCAACATCGCGCAACTATGAGGAATGTTGGCAGTTTGATACATGTAGATGCATCTAGTTTCATGTGCAGCGAAAACGAGCAGCTGCAAAAGCGTCATGTATCTGACCCCTATGGAAGTACCTTAACCCTTGCGTAAAGGTTTTACCGCCGCGCTCGAGGGCCTAACTCTTGGTCGAACTTCTGCATCAGTATATGCGCAGATGAAGGTCCAAGTGATCGTCGCAATCCTTCAAGCATGCCAGTCGAAATCCTCCTTTTAATCCCTCGTTTACGGGGATCCTCCGACGCCGCTAAGAGCTTCAGGCAGAGGAGTTGAGGAAGGGAGGACTCGATGTTCGTTGTATGAATTGCTCTGGTCTGCTTGTTTGCGCTCGGTTAGGGACGGTTGTGTTCCCGCGCAAGAGGTAAAAACTTGGTCGAATTCAATTTCTGCGGGAGGGAGGAGGGTTCCGGGGCATCACATCAACTAGGAGAGCAAAGACTCGGCAATCTTTGAAGGTTATTATACTTGCCGGGCCGAGCTGCCCAGCAGCGACCTACACAGTCTTCTCGTTGCACAGTAGCGTCACAGCCAGCTATTTTGAAAGGTTCGATGATGGATATATTGCGATTAGAATAAGCCTCATAGCTGCCTCTAACTAAATACAGTGATGCCGGCCTCCTTGTTTACTCCATGAAATTTCCGAGACATCTACTCAAAAGCCGTAGATACGGATACTTTGCCGACTTGGCGGTAGTTCGCTGCTGCCCACCTGTCAAATTAATGTTGCCGTGTTCGGGCAACTGTTACTCAGGACTTTTTAAGCAGCAATTTCTGACGTGAGCGATTGAGTGATCATGTTCATTACGGACGACGGATCTGCTCGATTCGAAATACTTCTCCCCCCGGCAGCCGTACAAATACAGAAAAACATGATCTGCAGACCCCTGTGACCGGCCCATTAAGCACGGAGGATAAGGCATTACCGTTGAATGGGGAGAGGAATAATAATTCCCTTCTTCTTCTTGGGGGCCATGCTCCTGCTCTTGGGCTTCCATTAGCGTGATTCTCTAGCGCTGCCTTTTGGTGTTGCGATATGAGGAACGCTGAGTTTGAGGATCTCCGGGTCCAGGGTCATGACCCCAATTTAGACCAGATTATAAGATAAAACAGCTTCGTCCCAGTCACTCCTTTGCTACCCCCTCACCTTACCCTGACTCAAATCGCTGCTGACCATCTCTTTTTCTCGGGGCCTCCGTGTACTCATAATTCTCTCGTACGAACTGAGCTTCACGCAATATTCAGTCTGCCCCTCTCAATTATAGCTTGACTTCACCATCATTTCGAGCCGGCCAGCTGCTGTGGCGCACAGAAAAGATACATTATTGCTCGTCTTGGTCGGCCAAAAACACTGGAAACCCTCGAGCAAGTCTCATGTCCAACTCTGAATCCAGCTCCTTCAATGGTATCACTGTTAGTCCCAGAGTCACACTCCCGGATTAACTTTAACAACTACTAAGTAAGCTAATCAGCAAGTGCGCAGGCTGATACTGTCATTGTCGTGAACAATAACCCAAAATCTCACTGCCACGCCTCCTGAAGCACCTCTCTTCATCCGATATTGCCCGCAGGCATATCTAGTCAGCGAGAATGGCGTCTCAAAATAGGTATGTGGCATTTGATTTTAGTAAATCGTGGGCTCCACGAGCTTCCACCTACAATGCGAAACGTAACACTGGCACGGAGTGGATTCAAACCGTGAGCCGCCTATGAATGGCTCGAGGTATGTGCGGACTTGCCACGTACAATTGCTTGTCATCGTTCTCAATTCTCTCCTCACCTTTTACTCTCATCCCCTTTCAACATACCTTTTACAGAAAGACTACCGCTAATTATGGTAAACATTACAGTACGTTTGCTGCTGGACAATTCATGAATCCTGGCCCAGCTCCTCGACCCCCGGCCGGCCCAACTCGACTCAATCTTGTCCCGCAAACGAGTAATCTTTCTGTAAATATGTCTCAAATGAGTATAAATTCTACCGCCTCTAGGGCATCTACCTCCTCTAACACTGGATCGATTATGTCCCTTCCTGTTCAACGGCAGCAGCCCGAAATTCATGGTGGACTAGCTGTAATCAAACAGGGACCTGCGTATGTTAAGGAGGGCAAAACTTTTCTCACCCCTTGGAAGCAGAAATTCTTGGTATTAAGGAAAGAGGCACTCGATTTCCACAAAAATGAAGGTGGAAAAATATCATACACTATCGTTTTAAAGGATGTACTAGCTGTTTCGCGCGTCGAGGCTGCTGGAACCATATTTGAGATAAAGAGAGCAGTCAACGGTTCTTCTAATAATCCAGGGGATGATGAGGGTCCCTCACGCTCCTTGCAGATAAGGGTAAAAGGTGACGATGATCTCTATGAATGGATTGATTTCATTTACGCACGATGTCCAGGAATGGGTGGTGTCAGCAATCCGACCAATTTTAGTCATTCTGTTCATGTTGGCTTCGATGCACAAACTGGGGAGTTCGTCGGGCTACCTTCTGAATGGTCTAAACTGCTTAACTCCTCAGCTATAACAAAGGAAGATTATGAACGTAACCCACAAGCTGTCTTTGAGGTGCTAGAATTTTACTCGGATATAACGAAGCAGGCGCAAAATCCGAATGCTTATTCGAGCTTGTCACCCAATGCTTCTAACATGAACCACCAGTCCAAGCAGATGGGCTACAGCGGCTTAAGCAATATTGCTTCTCCTCGACAAGTACCCAACCATCAACAATCACAGTCCCTAAATACCTCACTCACGCCTTCTAATGCAGCTAGTCGAACTAGCCCGCAAGACCTTGGGCAACAACGCCTTCAAGCCCCTAATTTTGCAGAAAAAGTTCGGGAAGAACAAAGATTAAAGCAACTTGAGATGCAGCGTCAGCGTGAACGCGAAGCAGCCGAGGAACAAAATCGAAGAGACATGGAGGCATACAATGCCTCGCTCCCAAAAACTCGAGCTCCCATGGCTCAAGCAGAGATTGGTGGATTCGGCGGAGCAGTAACTAACGACCGCTACAACCCGACCCGTGCAGCACCGCCTGCACCAACTTCTCTTCGCCCCGAACAGTCTCAGCAATCATCTTCACTTCGCGCCCAACGACAAGCGCCATCCGCGCCCACACCTTCTAACATAACTCGCTCCCAGATCTCACCACAGGCAAAAGACTCCTCTCAAATATCACCAAGTGGCGAGTCATCATCAAATCCCGAAACAACTGCTCGACGTTCTCAGGATACTCGATTACAGAAAACTGCTAATGCACAAAGACCACAATCCCGTCTAATCGCTAATAATCAAAATGTATCATCGACCCGCGCGCCGACTTCTTCTAATACCGTGAAACCTCTTAATGTAAATGCTAAACAAGCCCCGATAGCTGGAAACGGGATACAACAAAGTGAGGCTATAAAAGCAGCCGAAGCAGCCCTAACAGCAAAACCTGCCGTATCCGAGAGGGAACGAAAACAGGACGTTCGTATGTCAACGATGACTGAGAATGAAGTGATGACAAAGTTGAAAGAGGCCGTCTCAAAGGACGATCCCAATATGTCATACGCCAAGCAAAAGAAGATAGGTCAAGGTGCTTCTGGATCCGTATACGTAGCAAAGATCAAAGAAAATCCTCTATCGCCAATTGCACGAGAAGTAGTACGACAACAAGGCCCGAAGGCCCAAGTGGCCATTAAACAAATGGACTTGGCTCATCAACCAAGGAAAGAATTAATCGTTAATGAAATCATGGTGATGAAAGATAGTAGTCATCGTAACATTGTGAATTTTCTCGACGCATTTCTGCGAAACAATTTCACAGAACTCTGGGTTGTCATGGAGTATATGGAAGGAGGTGCTTTAACGGATGTTATTGACAACAATCCAAATATCACAGAAGAGCAAATTTCGACTATCTGTCTCGAGGTTTGTCTTCCGGAATCTTGATTAATATTAATCTCCTAACAACTCTCAGACTTGTAGTGGACTGGCACATCTTCACGCCCAGGATATTATTCATCGTGATATCAAGTCAGATAACGTTTTACTTGACGCTAGGGGTAACGTTAAAATTAGTAAGCCAAACTTCCTATCCAATGAAAATGTTGCTCACAATATTTAGCCGATTTTGGATTTTGTGCTAAACTAACGGAGTCAAAAAATAAGCGAGCCACGATGGTTGGTACTCCATATTGGATGGCTCCCGAAGTTGTTAAGCAGAAGGAATACGGCCCTAAAGTTGATATTTGGTCACTTGGTATCATGGCAATTGAGATGATTGAATCAGAACCTCCTTACCTCAACGAAGAGCCACTTAAGGCACTTTATCTTATCGCAACAAATGGTACCCCACGCTTGAAAAAGCCTGAGAAGCTAAGTAAGGAACTGAAGGCGTTCTTATCCGTTTGCCTATGCGTTGATATTAGGAGCCGAGCTAGTGCCAATGAGCTTCTTGCACATGATTTCCTCAAACATGGTTGCCCACTCGGTAATTTATCTGACCTTCTTGCTTTCCGTAAGCATTCAAAGTAATAATTTCCAACCTTGGGTTTACCATAATTACACCTTCCACATCAACAAATTTACAAATCATTATTCCTTGGATTGAATGAGGCCGTATCTATTTCATTAAAACTCATGGCATATGAAATCTGGCGTTCAGGGGCGAACATCTATTCCCTTTTTTACAAGACATCTATTGGTCTAAGTCCCCTTGAGCGGGCAAGTTGTAGATCAGAATGACTATGGATGATAAACAACTTCTTTGGACGATAAGTTATTGATTTCATGAAATTCTATACCTGTGACACACACAGCTCTCGGGAAGCTTTGGAATGACATCTAGGAATTATTTGATTTGGCATGATTTCTTCCTTTTTACTGGGTAGAGGATAAAAATTTGAGGGTTGAAAATATATCATCCATAAAGGAGCCTTACGGCGCATCGCTGCGGTGGGAATAGTACAAGTTAAGAATCGACGGCCCGTTAGTGGCCCCTCCCACATGGTAGAATTTGGTTTAGAGATCATGTAGGACAGACTTATTAAGATACGAGTAGCGATTGATGATGTTAATTAGTCGGATAAAGATGGTGTTGGAGGAGGCCACATTTAGAATAGAAATCAAAAATCTTGTTTTTACTCGCTGCTCCATTATTGGTGTGAGGGATCTCAATAGGGAGTGAATACGAGGAGCGATAATGACAGCTCTAACCATACGATCGAAATTTTTTGTGGGCCTGAACTTTTTATTTCTCCTAGCGTCGTGCCCGCAAAGAACGAGCATTGATAGAGCACGTGAGGGTTGGTTCAGCATACAACAGCTACCCTCTTATACAGCCGGAAAACGGTCTCAACGGTTCCAATTTCATACCATACAGACTTGCCGAAAGTCACTGTCTATCACCAGCCATTTGAAAAAACTCTTGACGACGACTCGAGGGATTAGACCTCTCATTCTACGACAAGCTCTACAAGGTGCCGCATTTGCGACCCTTTTCTACGGAGCCGAGACCTGGTACTCTAAAAAGACTTCTCAAAAGATCATCTCGCAAGTCCAACACAGGATGAACGAGGCGGTTCGGGCAGTTCTCCCAGTCTATCGCACCACTCCAATAGCAGCACTCCTACGAGAAACTGGCTGGGGCCTAGCTCAGACGTGGCTCTCCCGAATTCACAGTCGTCTAGCGGTTCGAACTGCGGCAGCTGACCCGTACCACTCTCTTCGTAGGCGTTGGAATACTAGTCGCATGCGCTGGATCCGTCAAAGAGTCTCGCCAGAACTTTCCGATGACACCATACCCCCACCATAGTCGGCACCCCGTGAGGAAAATCTGATAAAAATTGGAGCAGTAGGTAGACTCCTTGGACCAAATTCCTTCAAACAATGGCAGGTTACACAACCAATCCTAGACCTATTCGTATTTTCAGGTGGCGCTCTAATTGAAGACCAAGCAGGTGCGGGTTATGTCATCTACCGAGGTCTTACGCAGGAGATTGGGCGAGGATCACTCCTTCTTGGAAACTCGGCAGAAGTGTATGATGCTGAAATTTCTGGGTCCATGGAAGGTCTTGCAGCAGCTCTTCGCAACCCACTGGCCTATTTTGCCTCTAACGTCACTGTCTGCCTCGACAACCAGGAGGCTGCCATCCGTCGGCTCTTCGATACGCTCACAGCGTCCAGCTCGGCGAAAATTTTAATCTTTCGCAAGCTCGCAATGAACTGGAAAAGAAGATCACCCGGTCAAAAAATGACGCCTGGGGAAGTAGCTGCTCGATGGTGCCCAGGCCACGCAGGCATTCTTGGAAACGAAGTTGCCGACGCTCTCGCTAAAGCTACCTGTGCGGCTCCAGCTCTACACTCGGTATTCTCTATTACGAGGGCAAGAAGGGAAGTCAAAGCCCAGTACGAGGCTTCTGTTGCACTTTACTGGGCAGAAAATTCACCTTCTAGATACAAAGAACTAGGTATTGGCCCAAATACTAAAATTACCATTGAGCTCTCCCGTCTGGAGCGACGCATACTAGGATATCTACTAGCTGCACGGTCCGGTCACGGCGACTTCGTGGACTACCTCCGACGGTTTCAGCACAAAACCCCCATTCTATTCTGCACATACGGAGAAGAGAAGTCCCTCAATCGCTTTTTCTATTACCACCTTGGGCAGTACCAGTCTCAGCTCCACAGGGCACAGAACTCTAATCCCAGCGTATCTTGGGCTCTCGCTTCCGCGGAGGGAGTTCACGCATTTTATAGCTGGGTGCGTGTCACAAATTTCTTCGAAAGGGCACAACGAAAAGTCTGATTCGAACGAAATCACGATTTGAAGTAAACAGTTTTTTCCTTTTACTTTATTTTGTTTTGTAAAATCTTTTCATGATTTAGTACCAACTACATAGCATGAGATTCGTGGGACGGACGACCTTCATATATACTATAATCTTCGAGCGCAGGATAATAAGATCCTAGCTATCATTTGCTTTGTTGGGTCTGTGTAGGCGCCAACACGTCGGGTAGTTTTATTTAGACTGGGTTAACCTGTACGTTAGGAGCTCACGTGCTGTGCGCGGGCACGACGTTAAATATTATAAATAAATACTGTCGACAAAGACAAATTCTTTAATTTCCAGTGGTGACGGTGTAATCTCTCGGTATGCTCTGCATATCTGGGATAGCAAAGAGTAATTGCATCCAAATCGAAATTAAGAGCAAACACGAGCATACCTCCATCTGACGACTTCTTAATAATGTCGCTCTTAGCATTCTCATCCGAGTCCTCATCGACCAATAAAGGAGTTGCTTAAGTTACAAACTAGAGCTTGCACCATTAATTATCAGCCATATCCCACTACAAGCTTACAAAGCTACTCACAACCACGAGGAGGAATTTAAGTCGAAATATACAAAGCAAAAGTTTTGACTTGTGGGGGACTATTGCTTCAATGTGGCAAACAACCTGAGAGAGGATATGGAGCTGAGATGTGGAGCAAGAGGGGAAGGAGGTCTCGAGAGACTATGCTCAGACTGACATTTTCGAGGGGTTTTCAACTCTCGAACATTTGTGGGCGACAAGACCGAGATTTCGGCTAATTAACCTGGAGGTTTTCTTTTGTCGATGAGTCAACGGCACTCCCAAGGGCCCTGGACGGCACAAAAGAAGTTGGGCTAAGCTACCATACAGCAATCACGCTCTGTCAAGACTTTGAAGACTTTTCGGCACGACCTTCGGGAAGGAGCTGAAAGGAGGCTAGAAAGGCAGAGTGTAAATTCCCCGAGGTGCACATAAGTCTGCAGCGTCCAGCTGACCGGCCTCCTCGAGCGCTTCAGAAGGATTACTATGTCTTCGGACTTAGTCCTAATGTTGGTATAAGAAGAGCTCCGCACCTAGTGGTTTTTACGATTTTTTCCCGACTGCCATACACCCGCAAAAGGCCATTCTTTTTGGCTTGAGGGGAGATGATGAAGGGCAAAGGCTTCTAAATGTATGATCGAATGAGGAATATTTAGGGGCGGTAATGTTTGGGGGGAGCTGTATGGGAGGCATAAGAGGGAATATACTACTAGTATCGTAATGGTAGTGATTTTCGAGCTGAGATTCTTGGCAGCGCCAAATAACCTGTAAATAGCCTCCCTTAGGGCATGAGATCGTGCTAAGCCCGTATGTAGCATTACAGCGTGAATTAGAGAGATAGATTGCCCCAGACCGTCTCATACACCCATCTCCAGCACTGCTCCCGTCCCAGACTGTTAAATACCTCTCACCCCATTTCCTACACTACCCCAAGAAAGTAAGTCAAGCAAAAGCGTGCCGCCAGAGAGACTACCACTAGATAGTTGAGATGCTTCTCATACAACCCGGATGATTCTATAGGCATTGTACATGCCGAAACTCGTTGCACACTAGGGGCAACACGATATGAGAAGAATTATTCCACCAATAACACCAACCAAATTCGCACTGATAGCCAGGCTAGCATCTTTCCACTTCCGATAGTGGACTAAACTTATCATTAATTTTTCCAAATGAACAATAAGCCATAGGATAGCGAATTTCGTTGCAATTTATAACCACTCGTTTGCGTGGGATAAGTTCAAATCTATTAATCGAAAGTTTATTTTAAAATTTTCAGCATCTATCGTTCCTCTCTCTCTTACGCGCGTGCCTTTTCTTGGAGATTCAGGGGGGTTTTGATTACAGTGAGATTGATCTGAGATACTGTTTCCTCTCTGAGTCCGAATCAAGATCGATAGGCCGCGGAGAAATGAAGTGATGGATCTAAATGAGCTCGAATGTACATTAGCTGGTGATAAAACATCGTCGCAAGACAGAGATTTCAATCTACTTGAAACATTTCCATGTATTTTTATTCAGTTTATTGTGAGCCGTTGATATTGAAGGCTTTTGTGAATTAAATTTGAAGCCATGGTGAAGTGTCTGGATCACTCTTATGGGTCCGAGGTGCAGGCCTCGACGCACGCGTGTAGATCGCCCTAGGGCCTTGGCACCTACGAAGGATAACTCTCTGTGGATAGCTTGGATAAAGAATCGAGAACCAAGTTGTGGCTTCTGGTTGGTCAGTTTATGATCACAATGATTTCACGCAGGTGTCTCGTGGCTCCGACTAATCAACAATATAATGTGAGTAGAGCTTGAGACTAAGAACACGTGAATTGATTTCTACAATACAGGATCGCCAATTTATTTAAATATTCCCCCGCACCACGTGAGCTAATCAGCAGCGCACAATGTGCACGGTCGAGTTTCCATCAAACGGGATCGACAAAGTGACCAACCATTATCTATCTGCTAGCAGGCTCAGCCTGTGCTAATTGAAGCTTATGTCATCACAAGTGCAATTTTGAAGCTTCCGTGACCAGTCTAACAACCTCTTTACTTCCCAGCATCCCAAACGGCCTAGTATTCAACGAAGCCGGCTGGTATATTGTTTTCTTTGAAGAGTCACGTCACGGTATTAATAACAATGATATAAACTGCAATCAGATATCAGCCCAGCTCCCAGAGCGCATAGCAC